AATAATTTATAAAGGAAAGCTTTGTAATATCAATGTAAGACTATTTAAAATATCAAGTAGTTTAACATTTTACCATTTTCTTATTTGAATATCTTGCAACTTGAAGACATTTATCATATAAATAAGGTTTTGGAAAAAATGACTGAATTAGTAACAAGTACTGTAATTAGTTAATTTTTATTAATGTAATATTAACTCCTATACTCGATATTAGCCGTGTATTGATACCACCAGTGTATAGTTGACAGTGAATACAAAAACTGAATTATATAATAAAGTATATTTGATCATTTATTTTATTTCTATTTTTATTATATTTTGTTTTTTCTTATTTTTTTTTTATATCAATAAAGGTTCAATTTGCATATATAGTTGGTTTACTTTGGAAATGTGTTTCGGAGTTATTGTATTGATGAATATAGTATGATCGATAATTTTTCTTATAGAAGATCTAAACAAATTAGATTTAGAAAATACCAGACTTATGGCTAGAATTTGGGAATTAGAACAGATTCAGATCAGTGAAGCAAAACTTATTGCTAAAATTAAACATTTGCAAAACAAAAATATTGACAATGCAAAAAAAAGCCAAATTGTTGCATGTTGTTTGAAGTGACTTTCTTAGGTTCAATGATTTTTATAATTATACAAGAGTCTATGCGACCTATTTTTTGTCAAAGTGTCACTCCAGATCAACGATAATGTCAGATATTATTGCCGCAGTTTATTATTTAAATCATGTGATACGTAAAAATTTTATTTTTTAAAATTTCTTAATTAAAATTCATTTTATTAAAATTGTTATGCCCGGAAATTACATAAAACAAAATTTAATTCAATTAAAAAAGATAGTAAAAAATATAGTGTATTTCCTTCTTGTGACTATGAAAGGTGTACATGGTGCCGCTTGATTAGTAATAGATTTTAAAGATGTTTGTTGGCCTTATAACCTTGGAATACAGGATCTAAATGTTGGTTTCTTGCTAAAATTAGATCGTTAAGAAGATTGTTTAGAGTAGATGATGGCTTAGATTATGAGGTGATATTTGTTGTCACTGTAGAAGATAGAAAAGGCTCTAGTATATATTGCAAAGTTAGAAATAGTTGTGATTCATTAGATAGTTTTTAATATTATTTATTGAAAACAAAGATGGCTTAAGAGATAAATCTCAATATTTGCTAAAACTAAATTGTTCAATTGTTCTTTGGTTGGGTAAGAGATTGTGGTCATTTGAAAGATAAATATATGTTTCTGAATTAGTATTATTAACTAAAATATTTATATTGTTATCAAACTATAGTTGTTGAAGTAATTGTAAAAAAGAACCAAGTGTTTGTCAAGTTGAAACTGGAAAAAGCTTATAGTAAAGTAGAAATTTGTTATAAAAGAGTTCAAAATCTATTGTTCTAAACCCCACTACTAAAAAAAAAGTTCTTGTTGTGAGGAAATCTTTTGCTAAGCAAGAAAGTCTT